TAATGGAAGTGCAGCATTCCTGTCCTTTGGAATGTGGCTCAGTTCAAAGCTCTGGCTAACAAAGCATGAGAAATCATTACAAAATATGCAGAGGTGCTTTGGGGTTTGTTAGGAAATGTCCTCTGTCCTTTGGATATTTAGGAATTGCTTAATATTACCTTTTAACAAATGAAACTCTCAGCCTGATGTCTGGGAGGTGTTTTTAATCTCCCAGAGTGTCCCACAGAGCTTGACCTTCAATGTGCAGAGAGGTTTTCACAAAGCTGAGGCCCGGACCAGGTGATGGGAACGTTCCTGCCACTGGCACGGACACCTCCCACCATCCCAGGCTGCTCCAAGCCCGTCCAGCCTGGCCTGGGACACTCCCAGGGATCCAGGGGCAGCCACAGCTGCTCTGGGCACCCTGTGCCAGGGCTTGCCCACCCTCCCATCCAGGAATTCCTGCCCGATATCCCACTGGATCCTGCCCTCCCTCGGTTTGGAGCCACCCCCTGTGTCCCCCCGTTCCTGTGGCACGCAGGATGCAGTGCAGGCACAGCACACAGAGCTCAGTTCGGGGCACAGCCGCGATAACATCTTGTTGTACACATTCCGTAATTAATTTTAATTTACTTAATTAAGAATCGAGTCTTTGGGGAAGGAAGATGAAAAAGTTCCTTCATAAACTGACAATGGGCAATTGTTCCCAGCTTCTTATCCTGGAGGCACGGGGGATAATGGGAGCTATAGAAATCCTTGGACAGATTGATTAGATGGATGTGATAGGAATCCCCCAGCACTTGCAGAGTAATGGACACCTCCTTGCTCTTCCCTCACCATTCCCCATCTTCCCAAGGAATTCAGCTCGGGTTCATAACATAGAAAAATTAAAATTTCTCAGCAAAAGCCGATTTTCATTTGAAGATTCACAGCTTGGGATGTTACTGAAGCGGGCATGGATTTAACCCTTGCCAGAAAAATCAAGCAGAAATTAAATCAGCGGATGACAGAAGCTTGGGAAATGATGTTAATAAAATTCAAATGTGGAAATTCCCAATACTTTTCCCCGGCATCCATAAAAATAAAATGATATAAAAGAAATCCAACAGATGTAGCATCATATGGAGTTCCTTAATGGCAATGCTCAGCCTTGCAAAAAAAGATTTACAGCCACAGTCACTACTAAAAGTTGACATTTGCATTGAATAATTCATCATTTGCTGCTTGCTGGGCTTTGTTGCCTTTCTTTTATTCCTCAGTGATATCAGCTCTGCTCTTGGCGATGCCAATCAGTTCCAGCAGATGCAGATATTTTGTTGTTACTCCCAAAGCTTGACTCTGTTTTTAGCTAAACCTGGCTTAAATCTGCCCTGGTGAGGACTCCTTGCCTGCCAGATTTGATTTGCACCATTACCGGGCTCCAGCCTAATTCCCCCACAAGCATTCCAAGTATTTTAACAAGGATCACATGTGCCTTGGACATTCCTCACATTAGGACAAACTCCTTCCACCCCACTCTTTGTATGGATGCAGCTGAGGATGCTCCTGATCCGAGGGTAAAAAGTGTTGGGAACCACACCTGGACCCAACATCTGGACCGAAACTTCTTCAAGAGGCTGCTAAAACAGGACTTTATGGGCAATTCTATAAAAGTCATTGACCCCTTGCTGGTTTTAGGATGGCAAAAACCACACTTGGATTTCTATAAATCTCCTAAACTTTGCCCAAATTTTTAAAATATATTTTAAATATTTATATTGTATTTATTGATTTATTGTCAAACACTTTGTTGTTATAACCAAGTTGTAAATGACAAAGGTTTATTCCTCCCCTATATCCCATCTGTTATCTCCTGTTTCTTATTTGGGTTCATGAAACTCTTAAGGCCCAGTCTGGGAATTAAAGATTCTCCTTTTGGTCCCAATTAAACAAATGAGGGAAAGGAAAGGAAAGGAAAGGAAAGGAAAGGAAAGGAAAGGAAAGGAAAGGAAAGGAAAGGAAAGGAAAGGAAAGGAAAGGAAAGGAAAGTTTTATTTTTCATCTGTAAATCTTCCCTTTTTCCTCGGAAGAAGAGAGCTCAATCCCACAACTGAGAACAGATAATGCCAACCCCCAAACCTTTGTTGTTTTTATGACTTTTTCTCTCCCTAGAGAAAAATCATTGAGGGAAGCAAGAACTTATTTTCCTGGAAGTGAAAACGAGCTGTATTTCTGAGTTCAGAACTGCTTCTCCTTGAAAGAGGCCTCTGAAGATTGTGGTTTGATGAGACAGAAACTTCTGAAGTGGGATGAAGGAAATGTCTGGTCCAGAATCCTGTTTGGGAAGTTGGTTCCTCCCAGCACAGACCCTGCAGCTGATCACCTGCTGTGGGTCCACGTGAAGCAGAAACCAGCCGAGTCGAAATTCTGTGCTTTTGTGACCCAAAGTATCGATTCCTCGGGTGTTCAGGGAATTATCAGTGAAGGACTTTGCACTTACCTGCGCCATGGATGTGGATGTGGCTGGAAAAGCCTTTGTTCTCTCATCCCACTTTGTTCACCACCCCACAGCTCGGCCCAGGATCACTCACTGGCATCAATTCCTGCCTGGAATTTTGGAACTCTTCAACCTGTGCCAGCGCTTCTCTGGTATTTCACACAGGAATTCGTGTTCCTTCCCTGCCCCGCTTCATCCAGTGTAAGTCAAAACCCTTCCCACTTCCCAGACCTTTCCCAAAGCAGGAATTTCCACAGAGCACTGATGTAAATATAAGTTTTTTTCCCAGTTCTAAATCCTACCCCTTATCTCCCTTTGGGACGACACTCAATTACAGACAAACCCTTATCTCGCAGCAGGTAAAAATGTGGGAGATGGAATCTCTGCAGGATCTTCTTCCAGAGGGGGGATTCCAAATCAAATCCTGGGGTTTTTTAATAATTTTTTTTTTTTAAACAGAACAACAAAAATCACTTTGAAGTGTTCACAGCCAAGACCTGGCAGAGGGAAATGAGGGCTCTGAGCTCGCTTCAGATGCAAAGCCAATACAGAGTCCCCATTGCAGGCTGAAGGAGAGGTGCTGATGCAGGATCACACCAGGCTGGTGGGGATTTCTGGGAGTTGTCCACTCAGGCAGCATTTATGGCATCACCACCACCCCAGCCCGAGGCTGCCTGCGAGTCTGAGCAATATTTATGGATGTACAAGAGCACGGAATTGCTCATTGTCCTTGGGAGCACGAGGATAACCAGACACCAGGAGCAGGGCAGGAATGCTTGGTGGGGCTTGGAAGTCCCTGCAGCTCCCAGGTTCGTGACCTGGGGATAGAGAAATTTATTTTTGGTAGGATTTTATTTTTGGTTTTTAAGCCTCCAGGTGTTTTTCCATCACTGACTGGACCCCGGTGTGAACAGTGAGTGTGGAACTGAAGGATCCCTTTGGTTTTTGGGACTCCTGGAAACCTCGTGCTTGGAGCACTGGGTGTTTTTGGGGGAATCCTGGCCCTTGGAGGTGCAGCTGCTTGGTCAGAGGGGTGGGATGGGGTGGATGTGAATGCCTGGGATGAGATCCTGGCTGGTGTGAGCAGGAGCCTCCGCAGCCGCCAGCTCCCCGGACTTACCCTTCGGACGCGGCGCCGATGCCGTGGCCTTCCCGCAGCGCACAAACCATGGGCAGGCAGTGGGATTTGCAGGCTGAAGTGGGAATTCTCTTGGCTCTCATGGATTTAACTCAACCTCACAGCTGTGGGTTGCTATTTTAATTCGACAGCGGTGCCCGTGGCCCCGTTTAAGAGTGGGCATCCCATCGTGGCATGGAATAATCCGTCGGAAGACAAAGTCCCTGCCCCGAAGAGAACAGCACAGGAACTGTTTTTTCTGGTGATTTAATCATAATATTGACAACTTTATCAAAAATTACAAAACTGATATTAAAAAAATTCTCTAATTCTTAGTAAGACTAGAATGGGTTTTTTTAAAAAATAGAAAAGCACTTTTATGCTACGGCTCTTCTGGAATTCTCACATTACAACCCTACATAGCAAAATACAAACTGTAGCTAAGAAAGGTAATTCAGTCCTAAGGTAATTCAGTCCACCACGAGCCCTCTAATATCTCTAGACCATCAAACTCAGGGACTCCAAAAGGATATCACATGACTCATAAACCTTCTGCAAAGATGATTTCGGAAAGACCTTGGAATTTGAAGTTCCTCTTAACCCCTAAAACCTTAGACTGTGAGGATAACAGACCTGGGACATCAGAGGTGGGGTGGGTTGTTCTTTTTTTTTTTTCTTTTTTTTTTTTAATTATTTTTAAACTATGTGGATATTTATTTATAATTTTTTTTCTTTTTTTTTTTTTTTTTTTTTTTTTTTTTTTTTTTTTGCAGCTGATACCAGCCAGAAAGTTGAAAATACGAAGAAAATCCCATTGAAAGAAATGAAAATATTTTTGTTTCGTTTATGGCGTTCACACAACGCACCGTAAAAGAAAAGAGGAATATTTCCTTTAATTTGAACGTCATCTGAATGACTCAACCACATTGTCACCCACTTTAAGCAAAAGAAAGCATAATAAATAAATAAATAAATAGACAAGCATATGCAACACTTTACATCCTCAAGGAATCACGGCGTTCCCTAAATCTACCGAGGTCCTGATCGGCGTCGTGGGCTCGCTGTACTCAGCCACTTTCGGGTGATTGTGCCATGTTAATGACAAATCCAGTGGTGATCCACTTTCCACAATGGAGTTTGGATTTTTTTTTGTGGTTTTCAGGGTTTTTGGGGGTTTTTTTTTTTGTTTTTTTTTTTTTGTTTTTTTGTTTTTTTCTCCACCTTTTAAATATAGGAATTCTCTCTTAAATTAGAAAGTAGGCAAAAAGTATTTTTTTTTTTTTTAAATTTTCATTTTTAAGTCTTCTATTAGAAAAAATAGAGATTTATTAAACAAAAAATAATAAGGTAGAAAGAAGGGTTGGGCCTCCATCAAAAAAGTAGATTATGCTTTAATGCAAAGAGAAAGAAATGGCTCTATGGGCAAAATTCAAGTATGAGTGACCAGTTTTTTAATCGTAAAGTCGGTGCAACATTTCTTAAAATGTTACAACACTGCATGACCTGTAATGCTCACAATATTTACATTAACTGCTTACATGAAACCATAAAAACTCTAAAAGAGAGAGAAAAAAAAAATAAAAATCGGTATGGACTGAAACAAAACTACTCCTAGCACCCACATCAATGCCATTATTAACCGAGGAAATCAAGTGCACGAGAATACTTTACATAATCTTAGGGATGTAAAGTAAAACAGCGGGGAGGGAGCACAAACCTAAGGGCCAAGGGAGACACAAACTCAGCTCTGGGACACGAAGCGGAGGGAGAGGCAAAGGAAATCCCGAGGGAAAGGGGCTCCAGCGCTCGCCCACGCGCACGGATGGGGACGGGGAAGAGCCGAGGGCCACCGGGACACGGCGACGGAAAAACGGGAGCCCCCGGGAAGGGCTCGGTGCGGAGCACGGAGGAGACAGAGCTGCCCGGCAGGGGCAGCGAGAGGAGCCCCGAGGTAGCAACACCGGCCCCGGCACACCCGGGCAGCAGGAGAAGGAGCCACGATCCGCGGGATCCTCGGGATCCTCGGGATCCGCCGGGGTGCTGATCACTGCCAGTCCTTAGCCAGAGAGCGACGGGCTCGGGGAAAGGGAAATCTGAGGTAAGCGGTGGTCCCGGAGCCAGAGGTGGGAGGTAAAGCTCCACCCGGGACTGGGAATGGTGAGCTGGGAGTTCCCTCGGGAAGCCTCGCAGACAGAGGATGCCACGGCTTCCGTCACCATCGCCACCGGCCGTGTGAAAAAGAAAAATGAAATCAAATGGAAAGAATGTTGTGCTACACTTCCGTTCGTTAATTTTATAATGGCTCATAGCTTTAGACTTTTAAATCTGTAGTGTATTAATTTTTTTTTTTCTACATATGTTTCACATTTCTCACTTAATATAACATAAATAATTTGGTTAATAGATTTAACCTGCGCATTTCAGCCACATTAATATATATAAGAATCTGTTAATGGTATAAATAATTCTTTTTAAATAAAATAAATCTGATATGTTACATAATACTGATAAAAATTACTGTTGCTAATAGTTTTGTAAGCCACCCTTAACTTTTTTTTTTTCTGCTTTAATACTGCGAGATGGATCCTGGGATTGCTTTTCCCGGACGCTGCGGAGCGTTGCCCTTTCATCCTACTGCCAAACCAAAGGTAATCAATAGCAATCAATCCTGATCACTCCTGAAAGCGGGGCCTCTGCCCCCTTCCGAGGAAACACCGTGTTAATGACGTTAGATAATTGAAGCTAATTAATCTAGGGGGTGGTTGGAGGGGCTCAATGTTACGGGGGTATCGACTCTTTAGTTCCTCAGGTGGCTATGAAACTCCTACAGAAATGGTTGACTAAAATAGTCCCTCTACTCTTTTTTTTTTTGTTGTTTTGCCCTTTTTAATCAAATCTACAGCGTTCTACGTTCAAAGCTAAGTAAATAAAAACGCAACCGAGGGGTTGCAGCCTTTGAATTCTTAATCAGAGCTGTGATCCCACATCCCGTTGGGAATCTGCGAGGCTGCGCTCTCCTAAAGGCCTGAACTGGAGAACAGCACTTCCAGGCAAGGTTCATTCCAAACAGACATAGCAATGAACACTCAGTGGCGTGAAGTGGATGTCATAATTAAGGTATTACATAATCATGCCTTCTCTCTGCTGTTAAATACAAAAACAGCATCTTTTACATTATCATATAAAAGCATTTAGGCTGTATTTTTATTTATCACTTTACACTGGTAGTCTCTTGTATGTGTACTCAATAGAAACCAAAGAATTTTGTACACTATTTTTTGTACAATAAAAGATAAAGTGTGCATTAGGTACGCTTGTACATGACAATATTGTACAATATTTACAGTTCAGATATCACCATGAAATTCTGTATTATCTATATACACAATGAAAATTTCTCAGAAACATTTGGACTATTTCTTATAATCACAATTTTTTAGTATTATAGAAAAAAAAAAAAAATTCAGTAATCATCTGACATTGTTACTGCAACCTTTCAAGATTTCTGATTGGCTTATCCAGCACCCTCTATCCCTCCTAATCATCCAAAATCTGGTACCACTGCTCCTCGTGGTGCCCTGCGATGGCAGCGAGCTGTCTCCACAGAAATATTGACAGACCCACGTCTGGATCAATACCTACAGATAGACTCATGTGCACGTTCACTGTGATAAGGACTGGACCAGTAACAAAGACATTCAATGTTATCTAGAGATCTTCCTCCTCTTGAGTTTTGGAGGCTTCACTTGTCTGTCTCCCTGCGGGATTTGGTGGACCTAAAAATAAGTATATTCACAAGTTAGCAAAGGACAGTGGTCACAGGCTCGAGGGGCTGTCAGGAACCAGCTCTGAGCATTTCACAGCTACACTCAATAAAGAGACTTCAACAACTCAGAGAAACTGGGAGGAAAAGGTGGATTCCATAACCTGTGCATCCCAAACCTTGGAGAGTCCCAGCAGCTGCAGTGGGTTGGAAACAACCACATCACCAGGGACTGAAACCCCCTAACCAGGGCCTGATCCCAAAGTGCAATAATGGCAAATTCAGTGACAAGCTTTCATACCTTGGAGTGACCAGAGTGATAAAATGTGGGAAAGATGCTGGTAACAGGGAAAATCAGAGCTCAGGGCTGTTGTTAAGGAATGAGGGATGTTCAGGAAGCTCTCTGTGTTTAAAAGGAAACATTCAATTCCGAGCTAATGCCGGACGGGTTTGAGAGCCAAAGTCTGGCATCGCTGGCTGCTCAGGGAGAACCAGCAGGAGAGAGGGGAGGAGGAGGAAGGCTGAGCTGGTGTGGAATTCCACCACCATCTGTCGGCAGCAGCTGCAGCTCCCAGCAGAGGAACCAATCCCTCAGCAGCTCCCTGGGCTCCTTCCCGAGCTCTCCAGCCGCTGCCATTCCCTGCCTCCACTGGCTCCTGCCAGAATTCCCTCTTGGAGCTGATGATCCTGCTGCACATGTTTCCCACTGGCTGGGGCTGAGCAGCAGGAGCTGCAAAAGCTGCAAGTCACTAAAAAGAGCTGCTGATTCCCTGGGAGCGCTTCTGGGAATGATAATCCTTATGGAAATCAGCCCTGATCCCAAATTCCGTGCCCATCTAATTAAAGAATCAATCCAGGCACTGCAGGCCCATCAGTTTGGGGGACAGAAGAAGCAGAGCAGCAAATCCAACCACAGCACTTCCCCTGAGCCATTTCTGCTGCTCCCAGTGCCCAGAGCAGGCAGCTTTTGGTATTCCTGGATTTATGGGTGGGAAAAGGTGGCAGCAGGATGGGCCAGCCCAAACACCCATCCCAAATTTATTTGGTACAGACCAACAATCAACTCCTGCTTTCCTTGTCCTTCCGAAGGAGGGAAACACAACAACGTTCAAATATATAAATAAATATAAATATATTTCCTTTTTTATACTCCAGAAGCTCCCCAAAGTTGTTACTGTGACATCCAAACCTGCACATCTTCAGCCCTGAGCACTGAATATCAGCAAAAATTTCTTTTTTCCATGCGTTCAAACATTTTATAATTAATAATTTGAATAATTAATGATCAAACAGAAGATGTGGGAGGTTGCATGTGCTGTGATAAGATTTGTTTTTTATTTTTAGGTGGGCTGCAATGAAATTACAGCCACATTTCAGAAATAAAAATGAGGATATTTTATAAACCAAACTCGTTATTGGAAAGATACTGGAGTTACACAGAAACATTGTAATTAGTGTAGAAAAACCACTCTTGGTTTCATGATATTAGAAATATTCTTTTTCTTTTTAAAACTTACCTTTCACGACAATATCTTTTATTTCTCATGGGGAAAACTGAGTTTTCCAAGAGTTTTGCACTCAAAAGAAAGATGCTTTCAGATGTGGTTTCAATACTTTGCTACTCCAGCAGAGAAACAAATGAGGCAGATTTTGTGTCATCAGCCAGAGGAGCCCCACGGAACACGAGCAGAACTGGAACCCATCCAAGTCTTACCAGGCTGCATGTGTAAATCTCTTTTGTCAAAAGTAATAGAATTTGCAATGTACCTAAAATCCTACAACTTTCCCCATTTTTCAGAACCATCAGACATTTGCCAACGGTTTTTAATGCAGGGGAAATATTGAAAATTCCGCATTATTTCAGAATATAAAACCAGAATTTGTTAGAAATCCACCCAGACCGAGCCTCCCTCCAAAGGACACGCATGCAGAAACATGGAAAAGGAGAATATTCCCAAGGAAAAGGAACTTACATTCCCAGACATTTTGTCTAGTTCACTCATGGCCTCGTGTATAGCAGCTTCTAAATGGTTATTTAGCTTTCCACTTCTGGGGAGAAAAGATGAAAGCCATCAGTAATTCTTAAGGACAGAAAGAAAACTTGAAAAAAGTGAATAAAAACACACAAATTCTTTGGGAATGTTCTGACCCCCAGCTTGGGAGCACAGAGAGGAAGATCAGACCTGTAGGAACATTATGGAAAGTACAGGTTTGTGTTGGGATTACAGAAGAAAACTTTCCTTCTAATTTCCAATAAACTGTATTAATTATCTCAGCTGTTCCCAGTTTTAGGCTGGAGTGGCAGCACCCCACAGGCTGAGGGAGAGGTGGGTGAAGGTTTCCTGCTTCCAACCCCAAATTACCCCTGGCACGTTTCATTTCACAGTGACAATTCCATGGAGTGCTTTTGCTCCTTAAGGACTTTTCCCCCTTGGACATGGTGGCAGGTGCTGCTTTGGAGATGAGGAAATGGGAGAAGGAGCAGATGGAGGACGAGGAGGATCATGTCTGTCATGAGGGAAGGTGATGGCAAATAGAGGTGAGGAAGCACCTTCTCCCCTGCTGGGACCAGGCCTGTCCCTCACAGAGACATTTCCCATAAAAACCCTTCCCTTTTAATCCCAGAATCCCAGACTGGGTTGGGTTGGAAGGCTTAAATCCCATCCAGAGATGGCAGGGACACCTCCCACTGTCCCAGGCTGCTCCCAGCCCTGTCCAGCCTGGCCTTGGGCACTCCCAGGGATCCAGGAGCAGCCACAGCTGCTCTGGGCTGTGCCAGGGCCTCCCAACCCTCCCAGGGAAGGATTTCACCCACCCAACACCCAATTTAAACCAACCCTGGAAGTTGGGAAGGCAGTGGAAGCTTCACCAATCCAACCCTGCCCATGGCAGGTGTCCAACAGGAGGGACAGCAGAGATGACCTGAAATAACTGAGCAGGACTGGTGGGGATGGGTGGCACATTCCTGACTAAAGGGAAATTTGGGAAACAGCCAGAGGAGCAGGCAAGAGCAGGAGAAGGAGCCACTGGGATTGGGGATGACCCTGGAAGATGCTCTGTGCGCAGCAGGAGTGGGAGCAGGGATAACTGCACAGCTGGAGAGCTGAGATGGAACTGAGACACAAAGAATTCATGGAGTTACGGAATGTGAACGTCATTTCAAGGATTTGGATACCAATCCTGATCTGCTGAAGCAACTCTGGGCCTCTGTGATGAGGACAGCAATTATATTTAACACCTATTGTTTAAAAAACCTGGATAAAAATCCAAAAGTACATCACAAATCAGAAAGAAAAAGAAAATGAACTTTGCCAGATAAATTTACAGCAGGACATGGGGAAACCAGGAAATATCTACCAAAGAATTTCAACTAGGAAATAAGTTGAAATATGGAGAAAAAAACACTGTAAGGGCTGTAAAGCAGCAGTTTATGTCAACTTTAACCACTTTAAATCTACTCCTGCTGTCCTTGAGTCACTGATTTCACTTCAGGGACACGAATAAATAACTGGGAAGTCACCAAAAGCCCTTCTGTGTTCCCTTAAAATCCAGGAGGGTATTTTGAGGACGATGTTGGAAAAAGCAGCCGCCACCACCATCTCATTGGTATAAAAATTCTTTCTCTTTGGCCCCATGGGACACAGAAATAAAAGCAAAGCTCACCCCTTAAAAGGAGGGGTAGAGAGGGAATTATTTAATCCCTTTCAGCCTGTGGTTGTTCAGAGATGAGTTTAAAATCTCACAGATTTAAGAATGTATTTTCCCTATGACAGCAAACAAGCACCATCACAGAACAAACCCAATCACAGCACAATTCTGTCATCCTTTTAAAAATGTCCAGAGATGGTTTTTTCCCTCCTCAAAATTCAGTAATTTTCCTCTTTTTGCCCATCCTGATGCTTCATGTCCCAATATTTGCTGTTTCACTGTTTTTCTCTGCTGGTGTTTGTCACTAAAAGGTGAAGGTTGGATAAACCTGAGCAGCTGACACAGGAGTGACCCAGAGCTCAGCCACAAATCCTGCAACACTTCTCAGCAGTGGGAATTTCTCAGAATAAACCTGTGCTCAGCTGCCACAGGGAGCAGGTCAGGGCTGGTTAAAAACTCTGCTTTGGTCAGGATAGTTTGGACAGAATGAGTTTTTTCCTGTAGCTCAGGAACCCTCCAGGAGCTCCCAGGGATATTTCACAGAGATGCGCTCAAAACGCATCAGGCTCCAGAACCAACAGGAGGAATTCCAAGGAATGGATCCCTCAGTTTGAGCTGCCCCAAAACGGCAGCAGAGCATGGGAAGGATTGGAATTGTGTGGGGAAGCAGGATGGACTCACTTCCTGTTCCTTTTCCTGGCGCGGCTGAACGCCTCCAGCCCCTCCGTTAGTGTCTTCAGCTTCTCCGGCTCCACCTGGGGAAGGGATGGACACCAAACCTCGTTACCCAGAGCAGCAAATCCCACCTTGCCTGCTCTGCCAGCCTGGCAATCCCCCTCCAGCAGGGCAGGAACAGCGCCTGGAGCCCCCACCCCTCCCACATTCATCCATTGGTGGGATTTCTCAGCAAAAGAAATGCAAATCTGGGACATTTGTGACAACAAAACCGAGAAGAATCTTTTAAAGACCTTTCTTGGCAGTGCTGGTGAAGTCCCTCACTCTGCACTGACTTTCCCAAAGGGATTTTACCCCTGGAATGCACACCTGGAATTCTCAGTGCCTGGGACTGATGATCCCATTTTTACCTTCTCGTCACCATCAGTTCCTGGGTGAGGAATTCCAGGTCTCTGTTCAACTCAAGGCATGGCCAAATTCATTCCCATTCCACAAGGAAATCCTGATTTGCCTACTGAATCCAGGAATCTTCACTGGAGCTTTATCCAGCTTATTTATTAGTCTTTAAATCAGTTAATTATTTCTTATCTTTCTTTAGCTATCAGGGATGAATTTAGGCATGTGCTCAAGAGAACTGAGAATTTAAATCCTGAATATTTTAAATTTCAGGATTTAAGCAATTTCAACCACTGTGTGGGCACCAGTTAGTCCCAGTGTAAACAATACCAGCAGAAAATTAATTCTAACATCTCTGTAATTTCATCATTTGCATCTCAAAACATGAGGCCACTTCACTCTACTGTTTTGATTTGGCTCAGGCATTCCCTGCTGGTAAAAACAACAAGATCATATATTTAGAACACATCAACCTAAAGGAAAGAAATGGTTCCATTCCTGTTTCTTTGCTACATCTTACTTGACACTTTAAATACAAATTTATTGAGTGTGTGCCTATACACAACCTGGAAATGAAGTGGCAATGCAAATTCCCTCCAAATTCAGCCTTCCAATTCCTAAATAATTTATATTCACCACAGATCTGATGTGTGGACACAACAAGGTGGAGGTAATGAGTGAGCAGCTTCCAAAGTCTCTCGAAATAAGGCCCAAAATTACACATTTAGAACAACTTTCAATGTCTTGATGTCACACCTGGGCTAAAGAAATTGGGAATGTGCTGATCCAGGCACTTCCAGGAGTCATTAATGGAGAAATTTGCACTTGGGGAGCTGAGATTTCAATTTTCATGAAATAAATTCAATTATGCCACAAATTGTAGCGTTTTTCGCTTAAAACCTGCTCACTTTTGATGCAAATACTTCCAGTAATCCCTCCCCTCACAGGATTTTGGAAGAACACAAATTCAGAAGAAATGGAGAACCTGGGGAGCTTTTCTAAGGACAAACATGAGAAAAAAAAAAGGAATTATCCCTATCCATGACAGAAATGTAAATCTAAGGAACAAACTGCCATGAGAGAAATTGCAAAGTTCAATGTAAATAATGTTATCAAGAATTAATATCATGTTTGGGAAACAAAGGATCTCTTAAAGTAATCTTCACTGTTGGAATTTTGTGATGGTTATACATAAAAAAAACATTTGGGTTTTTTGGGAAATATCAGCTTGCTACAAAACAGGGTATGGAAAACAACTCCAAGAGAAATAACAATTAATAATCATCAATATCAACCAGGCCAGTGAACACCAAATCACACACAGAGCTGGGAGAAATCCTCCCTGTTTTACCTGCAGAACCAGAAAAGCCCAGTTTAACCAGTCCAGTTTAACCAGCCCAGTTTAACCAGCCCAGTTTAACCAACCCAGTTTAACCAGTCCAGTTTAACCAACCCAGTTTAACCAGTCCAGTTTAACCAGCCCAGTTTAACCCCTGAAAAGTCACACTGAGAGCAGGATTTGCCCTGTTAGAATTCACCATGAAAAGCTCCCACAAAATCTTTGATTGCTCTGGTCCTGTTTAGGTGATGAACAATAATTAAGGTGGGTAATAATCAAATAAATTGCTTAATGAGATACAACTCCTCTGGTTTGGAGACTTGCTTCTTCCCAGAAATTTCTCCTGCACTTCCTTGGGCCCCTCTAATTTCCAGTAGCCAAAAACCAAGGAAAGGAAGAGCAATATTCCTCCTTTTCCTGTCTGGATCCTCCAAACAGATCCATTATTCCATTAAATACCTGAATGACCAAAGTCATTTGAATGGAAACAAAAATCAAATAATAAACAATCAAAAGACCAGAGAATGTACAAATCCCAACAGCAAATCAATACAACACAGGAGGGTCACATTTGGTTACACAAAGACTTTAAAAGATGTTTTCAGGAAGCTCCAGAGAAAAAGGAATTTTCCCACGTGCTGCAGGTCACTCCCACCACGGATGGTGCAGAATTCCTGAAGAACATTTGGTTTTTGAGGTTATTTCTTTGTGGCTGTTTCTTTGTGGTTTTCCAAGTGATTTCTTCTGGTTTGATGTGGGTTTTTCCCTGTGTATCCCACCTTCAACCCTCAGCTCCTGCCCTTTGGAATGGCTGTCACTCTGCACTTCTTGATGAAGAAATTAAACACATTTATTTCATTTTTTAATTGAAAATGATTAATTAAAGGTGGTCTGATGGCAGAGGTGATCCACGACGTGCGAATTCCTCACAGAGAGCTTGGAGTGGTCTCCACCTTGCTGTCAGCATTCCAAGGATCTGCTTCCCTGGTTTTTGTGCTTCAGTATCCAATAAAATTGGTGCCACTGGATTTAACATCCCCCAGTTCCCACACAAAGCACAGAAACCCCAGCACAGCAAAGGAGGTTTGCACAAAACCAACAGCACGTTCTGCAATCCACAGATTAGGGAGGAAACGTGAAATTGCTCAGGAATGAGGTAAGAAAATTCCCCTCTTTACAGAAATTCTAAAATATAAACCCTTCAATTCTATTAAACATTCACAGAGATTTGGACACAGAGATTCTGAAGTTAATCCCTAAAAGCACACTGGGAATGGGAATGTTGTTCCTGACTCACACAGACAGGGATATTGAACATGGAACTCTTCATCAAGAAGAATTCAGGAGCTCATTTTGTTGCATCCTTAAAAGTTTGGGATCTTCTGTGCTTCCACTTCCTGACTTGTAACTTGGGGATCTGAGCTTCCCAAGGCTCTAAAACACTGTCCTGGTTTGGGCTGGGATGGATTAATCCATGGAAAGCTCTGGAATATTCAGCACTCTCACCTGCCAAGGGAGACTGGAGTTCCGCTCGGGGGGTGAAACCACAGCTGCTCAACAGCATCCAGGATTTACAGCTCCAGTGGAGAGGGACTGGAAGATTCCAGAGAAGCTGGGGCTGCCCCTGGATCCCTGGAAATGTCCCAGGCCAGGTTGGACATTGGGGTTTGGAGCAGCCTGGGATGGTGGGAGGTGTCCCTGCCATGGCAGGGGTGGGATGGGATGAGTTTCTTGTCCCTTCTCTCCTCTGGGTATCTGCTCCTGGCTGAATTTTGGGGAACACTTTGGTCCAAACCACTCTCCTCAGTTCTAAGTGATTTGATTTCTTTGTGTCACTGACATATTCCTATTTCCTTAAATCTCCCCTTTCTGCTTACACATTTCTTAAATTTGCATTTTGTAAAATGGAACGCAAAAATATGTACAGGTGAAAGATGTGAAGCATTTTATAAGAACTACAAAGATAAAATGTTACACAAGCAGTGGAGACCAGATTTGGGAATATTTTTCATAATAAAATAACCAATAACTCCTTGATAACCACATTTCCTGTCTATTCCCCAACAAGCACATGATTTGTTGACACAAAGAAAGAATTTTAGTATGAAAGAGCAAATCAGAACACTTTCCTTATAACTAAATGATCAAAACCTCATGTGTGTGCATTTCCTGTGAGAAGTGTGTGTCAATCAGCAAGATTTCACTCATTACAGATTCCTCAATCTGATTAGGCCACTTCTCCTTTTTGCAGTTTCAACACTTTCAGGTATTTCCATATCAGATGCTTTGGACACAGCCAGGAATTTGTCTGAACACACCACGGAAGTGAGAACCATTTTTTTGTTAACACCAAAAAAATCATTTAGCAAAGCCCAAATCTAACCTGTCTGAAATGAAGGGGAAATTCAGCTCTACAAGCTACAGCTATGAAAAAACCCCCATTTGTGCTGCTAAAAGAAGAGATAAAATAAAGGAGACAAAATTTTGATTTGTGTGCTGGTGGGGAGAGAGAGAGAGAGAGAGAGAGAGATGTGCATAGAGATATAAATATACCTTCCCCTCCTCAGCGTTCTGTTGACATGAATTGTGAACCTCTTCTTCTCTGCCAAGTTTGCCAGGCCAGGAAGTCAGTCCTTTGATCTGGCCCCAGACCAAGTCGCCCACGTTAAACGTCCTTGGCCTGTAGTGGATGAGCTCGTGGGACGAGGGCGACTCGGGGTTCCGCAGGTCCTCCTCGCTGCTGATGCTCTTAGCATCCGAGGGGCTGGGCACGCACCCGTTAATGCTTTTGGCATTAAAATCTCCATTGTAATGGATGTAGTCTTTCACTAAGGAACTCTCCAAGCTATTGGAGGAACTGGGAGATTGCTCTTCCAGGATCAGGTCTTGTTTGGAAGTGTTGAGCAACTCCCCGAAGCCCCTGTTGGGCTGTGGGCGGTTCCCGTTGATGTGTGCACATCGTTCCACAGTGTTCTCCAGTCTTTCCTTGAAACTCATCATAGTTCTTTTGTAATTGTTATACCTGAAATTCTCCTCCAGCATTTTCTCGCTCTGACAGTTCCGCTGTGCCAGCAGGGCCTGGTGCTGCTCCCCCTGCAGCAGCGGCAGCGTGGAGATGTTGTTGGGCCTCTCGTGGCACGGGCTGCTGTGGATATGGGCGGAGTGCTCCAGGAACTCCTCACATTTCCACCTGTTGATCTCCCCCCCGGGGCTCTGCTCCCCTTCCCACTGCTTTTTGGGCGTGTTACAAGTGGCTGATTTGTAATACTCGTAGCCATCCCCCTCAGCGGCGTTCTTGCCGTGCTCCGAGCTCTTGGGGACCCGCGCGCCGCGGGCGTTGCGGCCGCGCCCCTCGTGCTCGGCGCCGCGGCCGTGGATGACGGCGCTGACGGCGCTGGAGAGGTTCAGGGGGTCCCCGATGGAGGCTGTGAAGGCACTCATGGCACTCAGGGCGGGGATGGGGCTCGGCTGCGTGGAGCTGGAGCCGGCCGTGGTGATCACCACCGGCACCCCCTTGCTGGCGGCGTCCACCACCGCCTTGTAGATGGCGTCCACCGAGGCGTCGCCCGCGGCGGCGGCGGCGTTGGGGTTGTCCTTGGCCTGCTGGCCCAGGGATGGGTCAGGTCTCTGCTGCAGGTCGCAGGGGGGCTCCTGGAAGGGAGGAAGGAGAGTGTTGGAGCTCTCGGGAACCGGCGCCATTCCCATCTGGGTGATCATTCTTTTGTTGAGGACGGCGGCGTCTTCCTGCATCCTCACCTGGGGAAAGGAGAGGAGAGGATGGGAATTGCTGCTCTAACTCAAGTTGGATTTCAGCAGATAAACTCTGTGCTTATTCATGACAGCACATTTCTTTTTGTTATATACCAGGTATGAATTTTCATGCTGAACAAAGCGGAGAGAGAATTAAAAGCCTGATTTAGAGGGAAACATAACCACTGTCTCAGACTCTGTGTCAGCAGGCTCCTGTTTCCTCTCAAGTCCTAAACAAGTTCCCCAAGGTCAGTATTTCTGATACAGAGACACAGGATGGTGTGGGTGGGAAGGGACCTCAAAGTCCACCCAGTGCCACCCCCTGCCATGGCAGGGACACCTTCCACTCTCCCAGGCTGCTCCAAGCCCCATCCAGCCTGGCCCTGGACATTCACAGAGATCCAGGGGCAGCCACAGCTTCTCTGGGCACCCTCACTGCTCTCACAGGGAAGAATTCCTTCCCAATATCCCGCCTAAATTTCCCCTCTGGCAGTTTGAACCCATCCCTCACGCAATCCCTCCTGGTCCTGTCTCTGCAGTCCCTCTCCAGCCTCCCTGCAGCCCCTCCAGACACTGGAAGATGCCACAGGGGAGCCTTCTCTTCTCCAGGCTTCTCCAGCTGAGCTGATCTAACCCAGCCTCCTGCTGGAGCCCAGGATCACATCCAGGTGGGGTCTGTGCAGCTCCAGAGGAGAGACCTCAACTCCACAACCTCTGAGTTCTGCTCTCAACAATTCCTTCTCTTCCCTTCCCAGACCCCACCATTGCTTCTGTCCTTGTGTGCTCCTCAGTGAATTCCTGAATCCATCACTGTGCTTGTGGAATCTGTGCACCAATTCCTGTTTTCCCCTTTGCTGTGTGCCTTTCCCATGGGATCTCAGGGACTCCAGTCCCCAATATCCCACAGCCCTGTGCTCTCAGACAGGCCCTGCCACAGCTAACTGGCACCTCCAGATCCAACCACCTGAGCTTTTCCTATTCCTTGTCACACCCACAGCCAGGGAACACGATGTCAGCAAGAGCACTCCAACAAAAACTGTAAAAACCACAGGGAAAATATTCCAAAAGCCCTTTAACTACTGGCTGTGTCTGTTTCTATAACTGGGAATACAACACAAAAAAATACTGGGCTAAAGTGACCAAAATTCCTACAAGAGAGGGAACAGGCAGAGATTTTCCAGGGAAGCTTCTCCACAGCTCCTTTTTCCTCCTGGAAGGGTGGAAGCTCTGCCTGGCCCCCTCTGCACTCCTCAGCTCACACCTGCACTTTGCCTGCAGTGATACTGAGGAACAACAAATCCCTTCCTGCACCCTGCATTTGTCACTATTTTTGCTCTGTTGATACCCAACCTGTATGAGGAATAATTGTGTTATCTGGAGAACAGGGAAGTCTCATTTTTTCCCAGTTTGCCATTGTTGATTCACTCCAATCCCTGTTTTCCCAGGCTGCACAGTCCCCATCACAGCTCTTCCATCCCATTACAGTGGGAATATGAGAGGACTGGTGCACACAGTCACTTATAACAACTTATTAAGTTTCTAATTACTGCAAAGTGCTATCAGTATTTATTTCTCACTGCTGAATAATCAGAATAAGCTAAATGAGAATTTAGGATCATTTCTGTGGGATGGAAAAGAGTTTTGTTAAAACTCTATAGTGATTGTCAGCATATAGAGGAACTTTTTTTCAACACATTCAGCATAATTCTTTCCAAAGCACCTAAACCCAGTTCCTAAGGAGAAAAGGATAAAATTTCAATAACAAATGTTCTTGGTTTTCAAAATCCATCAGCTACTGAAAGAATGTATTGTATACAGTATACATATAATTACAGAAATTAAATTGTCTTAATCAGCAAAGAAACCCCAGACTCTGGAGGATGGAATTTTACCTCCTGAGAGCTGCACACTTGCTTGAATATTGATTGAATTTTGTTTTCTACCTGGAAATTCTGGAACAGACACGCCATGGGGTTTGGGTTGTTGGCTGGGCCAGGAATTTGGGGCTGGCCTTGAAAGCCCTGCACGTTCTGGTAGCCCTGGAGAAGGTGCTGCTGCTGTTGCTGCTGCTGCTGCTGCTGCTGCTGCTGATTTGAAGGAAACATCTGATTGTTGTTGAGGAGTGACTGGAGATGGCTGAGCTGATGGTTGTTCAGAGTAGTGTTCAGAGATGACATTTCCCCTGCAAGGCAAGCACAGGCAAACACCACTCAGCAATCCCCTGCCAATCTCACTGACTGCCAAGGAAACGCTGGAAAACAATCCTGCTCCCCTCCATCCTCTTAGGAATGGGGCTCTCCTGCTCTTTATTTCTCCACTCTCGGGTGTTCCGTGTGGCCTCTCCTGACAGGATGCCTGGAACAGCCAGGGATGGAGGCAGGAGGAGCTTCTGTGGAATTCCAGGCCTTGGAATCTCACTTAAACAGTGCTGGGGTGGTGAGGAGGGGAGAGAGAGGAAGAGACAATCATTTCAGCTCCAAACAAAACGAGTTTTCCACCAACTGTGAAGAAGAAAAGGCTTTTTGGCTCAGCCACGTCACACAACATTCTGAACAACTTTTTTTTCACACTCTAGAGTAAAAGTTGATTTAAGGTTTTTCTATTACACAAAAATTTCACTTTACATAAATGTTTTAGCTTTTAAAATAAATAAATGCCCTGTCAAACCTGACTTTATGAAATAATAAAGCTTAAAATACATAAATTTTCTAGTTTGTTTCTTTTTTAAAATTAAAATCTTGTGTTTTCCTTAAAATTTCCATTTGAGAAGTCACTGTTAGATACATTTTGTGTGGAAAATGCCAAGTAGGTGGAGTTCACTGTAGTCATTAAGGTGGGGATGAGCTATTATTTAATTATTATTTAATTCCCTTATTATTTAATTATTATTTAATTCCCTCCACGAGTAGATTACAAGCAGAGGAATACCTACTCTATTATATGATTTTGGTAAAAATAACTGAAAAATCATCACCCAAAAGAGAAAAACTTTGTATTTAAGGGTTTTTTCATCATTTGTTTTGGGATGTTTTGGCCATTTGACATCTCCAGCACAGCTATTCCCACCAACCCTGTGCTGCCACAGGCACTCACAGCTGACCCAGGGATGCCCCTGAGCTGCTACTCCTTGAACAATGAAATAAATCTAATTGCTCACACAATTTTCAGGTGGATTTAGTAGGCCTAGGTGGCAGAATTAATAATTTCCATGCTCAATCCTAAACGTTAAGGAATGAAAGTAGAAAGTGATTTAAATTTCTTACAAGAACAATTACATTTCCTCAACGAACAAGACGCAACAACACGAAAACAACAAGAAAGAAAAGAAAAAGTGGAATTTTTACAGATTAAAAACCCAAATCTGCAATCCTCCCTCCTCAGGTTTGATTTTTCCCAACAGCTGCACTTACCAAGCAGGCCTGTCCCCAGGAGAGGGTTCAGGAGCTGCGGCACCACGGAGTTGTTGCTGAGCTTGGCGGGTCCCGGCGCGCTCCCGGCAGCGCTGGAGATGTTCAGGAGCGTTTCTGCCATGGACACCACGGCCGTGCCCCCGGCCAGCGCCGACACCGACAGCGCGGCCACCGCCGACGACGTGGTGCTGGTGGTGGTGGTGGCCTGCGAGGACGTGGCTATGGCCACCTCGGGGTGGCTGCCCGAGCTCAGGACGCCCCCCACCAGCTGCGGGTTCAGGGCCATGAGCGCCGAGGCCCCGGAGGCAGCGGGCAGCAGCAGGGGGCTGGGAGCGGGCTCGGTGCCTGGGAAGCCGGGGATGGGGTTGGACAGGAGGTTCTCCACCCTGCTGCCGTCGGGCAGGGGCTCGGGGGGCGCGGGGGTGCTCTGCTGCTGCAGCAGGTCAGAGATAGTCACGTTGAAGGATGGCACGGGGAGCATGGCAGCTGCCTGGGCCTGGTTCTGGAGCAGGGCTGCCAGCAGCTGGAAGTGCACGGGCTGCAGAACCTGCCCGTCCACGTCGCCGGACAGGAACGCTAAAGCGGCGCTGACATTCGGGTTCAGAAAACCTAAAGGGTTGAGGTTGACCTCAGACTTGCCTTCTCCTGCTGAAGGCTGGAGGATGTTTAGGAGATTCTGGTTTAGGAGATGTTGCTGATTCACTGGCAGAGAGAGAGGCAGGGAGTTGAGGAGGTTTTGATTCAGAGGATGTGGCAGATTGTTGTTTGAAGAGCTGTTCTGCGGGAAGTGGAGCGAGTGTTCGTGGCCAGCGAAGGGGAACTCGCCCCCCATGGGCAGCTGGCCCTGCTGCAGAGGGGTCCCAGCTGCAGTGGTGACAATGACACCGTCCTGGAGCACAGATGTGGTCTTGGTGATGGCGGCTTGGCTGGTGCCAGCGATGGCTATCGAGGACGACGGGCCCAAACCCCCTGGAATGGGAAAGGCAGGAATATTAACAGAGATATTAACAGAATATTAACAGAATATTCACAGGGTGCTGCCTGCTGGGAAACACCTCCAGGGCACACAGCACCACCAGCACCACGAAAAGGAGCTGGGGAATCCAGACTGGAGCGCTTGAAAAACAGGAATGATCTGCCATGAGATGCTGCAGATGCTCTGTACCACACCCCATTAGAGATTATGGTATTGTGCACTTGTACTTCCCTTAAAGTTCTTGGAGAGGGGTTATAGCATCATCTAATTCACATATAATCAGAGATTTTCAACAGCATAAACCCAAAACCAACCATGACTTAATAAAGTCATGGACCAGGCTGGAATGAATGACCAGGAAGAAGGATCACACAGGAATGATGTTGGGTGAAAGACTCAGTCATGATCCACTTCCAGTTCTAATTCATTCACGGGGTTTTGGGTTTTAGATTATTATCTAAGGCATTGTTTTAGAGTCCTGAATGAAAAAAAAATACATGGTATGATGAGACTGTCCCAGGTCAGGAGGAATTCACAATGTGTAAAGGAAAAATTGGGGTGGTCTAAAATCCATCACTTGGGAGGAAGAGAAAGGGCAACTGGGTGAATTTACCATGAGAAGGCTACAAAGAAAGAGTAAAAATGTTTATTTGGGTATCTTTATACCCCTTTAGCAAAGCTGAAATATAAATGATTGTTATTTTTTTACTTAAGGCAGTTTTGAATTGACAGTGGTCACTCACACAGCTCTTAGGATGAGGGACTGAAAGGCATCAATGATCACAAATATAAATTCTTATTTTTCTTAACAAATACTCTTTAAAGAGGGATTTGATAAGAACTGAGCCAAACCATTACATCACGTTTAACTAAAATGACATTTTTAAAGTGTTGTAATGTTGTGACAACTCCAAAAGGTACAAAATGAGCACAGGACCCTTTGCACTGCCCTGAACTCAAGAGAACAAATCTTACCCCTCTCTCTCAGTGCCACGGTCACGTTTCACAGCAGAAATTAAATAATAAGGGAACCAAAGGTGAGGTGAGAGCAAAGTGCAATTGTAGAGCAGAGGAAATCCTGCTCTGGGTGAGTGGGTCAAAAACCTTCTTGTCCACAAGAAACAAATTTCATTTATTTATTTTTAGATATAAAATCAGTATTTAGAACTAATGCCCCAAGGATTTAAAAATGATGTAAAGTCCCTAAGAGCAACCTGCAAATTTAAGAAATTCCCAATGGAAGAATCAGCTGTACCATTCCCCCTTGGATGTGTCAAGGAACACACAGAGAGATTTTTATTTCAGGCATGAGGAAATTATTCTAGAGAAATCTCCTGAATATCAAATTGACTTTGGGTATTTTCCAGTGGACCTCATCTCTGTTTTCAATTTATTCCTGCTCCTGTTTTCCATTCTGCCCAGGTAAATGGCCCCATGGAAGAGGATTTGGGAGGTTTTGGATGAGAAATACAAACAGGAGTTGAACACCAAAAGGGAATCTCGACTCTAATTCCCAGTCCCACAAAAATGTGGAATTTTGGATCCAGGGAACCCAAGCATGTGTGAGCTCAGTAAACAACAGTCCTTAATAATCAGAATGAAAAAAGATGACGGAGTCAGACTAAAAACCATAAAATCCCAGGCCAACCCCAGCTCCTGCAGCCACAGACTCTGCCAAAGGCCCTTGTGCCACTTGTTGAGAAAAATGAACTCTTTGCAATGTGAAAAAAAGTGAAAAGAAAAAAGTGAAAAGTGAAAAGAAGAAACACCCAGAATGCAGAAAATGCACTTCTGTTGTTCTCTTAGAGGGCCAAAGAAATGTTTCGGGAGCAAATAAATAGCATTTAAATTTCTAAAGTTATTACTGATTGTATTTATAATCATCTTTAATTCTATTTTCTTTTCAGTGCAGGTTCATTTTCCTGTGTGGATTTTAGCTGTGTTGTTTTTTTTAAAGCATTGCTCGACAGGTGTTCTTTAAGCAAGGACAATAAAATAAATGGGTATTATGGAATCAGTTTGTGTTCAAGAAGATTCACTTAAAATAAAGAAATCAGAGTGGAAGATATTTGTCATTAATATCTCAGAACTGTTCTTCCTAATCACAGATGTATTTTCCAAAAGGATTGCACTTAAAGTGGATTAATTAGAAAAGAATATTTCAAGTGCTATTTTGCAACTCTTTTTCCCTGTGAGAAACTCTCCATTACACACCCCAGGATTTAAATAGTCTCAAAAAACACAGTGCTGGAAATTGTGGGGAAAAAACAGTCACTAAAACAGGTGTGTGAAGCACTGGGAAAAGTGAAAATGCACAACTTGCTCATTAGCCATTGACACCTGAAACATTTTTAGAACAGGGCACAAATAAACGGCATAAATTTCATTTTTTCCGTTCTTGCTTTTCAGAGAATCCCAGACTGGTTTGGGTTGGAAGGGACCTAAAATTCATCCATCCCACCCCTGCCATGGCAGGGACACCTCCCACTGTCCCAGGTGCTCCAACCTGGCCTTGGACATTCCCAGGGATTCAGGGGCAGCCACAGCTGCTCTGGGAATTCCACCCCAGCCAGGAATTCCTTCCCCAAATCCCCCCCATCCCTGCCCTCTGCCCGTGGGAAGACATTCCCTGTGTCTGGTCCCTCCAGGTCCTTGTAAATCATCTCTGCACATCCCCTAAAACCACAGCCAGCTTTGCTTAGATTGGATATTTTCCTGGCTGCTTTTCTAATTTCAAACCGTTCAAGCCTTGGAAACCCTTGTTGGCATCTCCCGTTTCTCTCCTTGGTCATTCAAGGAACTCCTCACTCAACTCTCACCATCTCCATCCTCTCTGAGGCAGAAGAAATCTGCAGGATCCTCCCCAAAACCCCAGTGTCAGTGGAGAGAGCTGACCCTGAGATCAGGAGGGTGTGAGAAGATCACTCTGATATTTTAATTACTACCACAGCTCCAAGGGGTTGCGCCACCGCGGCCACCACAGGGTCACCCAGCCACGCCTGAGGTCTCCCGGAGCTGCTGCCACGCCGGGGTGAAATTGGAATTAATTGCAAATTAGAGCTAAAACCTCACAGCTTGCGTTAGAGGGGAGATTGTTCAATTAATGATTTCCAGAGCCTTCACTTCCCAGTGAAATTGCTGAAGGAAAACACAACCTCAGAGTCCTTTTCACGATCCCAGACAATGAGTTCTCGCTGTAACTCCCTATTCCATCCCTTACCTGCACACTTGGAACCAGGAATTACACATTTTGACCATTATATTCCCCCTTTTCTTTCTGAAATGGAAAACATTTAAGATCTTTATCTGGTATCTCCTTTATTACACTGCTTCCAATTCCAAAGAAACCATAATTCAGCAGTTAAGCACAAACTGCTGTCGCTCGCTCTCCTTATCGAGATCCTGCAGTGCCCTAAGACAGCACAGAAATCACCCAAAATGGGCCAATAAATAAAATATCCCCATCAGAACCAGTTCAAATCCTGAACTGCCCTTGTCTGCAGCACTCTGTGCCCGTGGAATGTGCTCTGCTGGGAAATATTCACCTGCCTGCCCGGAATTCCTGTGCATCCCATGATCACAGGGTTTTTTTTTTTTCATTTACAACAAAGCTGAAATCTTAGCCCCTAAAATTTTGGGGGAAGGGCAAAAAACCTCTCTATTTACACAGAAGTCCATAAAATTAGGCTTTTTAAAATTTAAAAAAAACCTTAGGCTTTTTTAAAATTTAATTTTTAGAATTTAATACCTGTCTGAATTTTGGTCTTGGCTCATCTCCTGTGATTTCTGCACTTTCCCAGCACTGCTGGGTTGAAAATGACTTGGAGGGAAGTGTTGTGATGTGCTCAGCTGCCAGCAGAAAGCAGAGCAGTGCTTGAGTAGAAAACTGTCAGGACAACAGCACACGAGTGCAGGAGCAGGAATTTGGGATTTTCCCACTCAGCTCTCGTCTCTCCCCACCCGCAGCTGTGGCAGATGCATTGCAAATGAAGGAAAACTGCGAATTTGGGAAGCTAAAAATTCAATAAAAAGCATTATTTCTTCCAGTAATCCCCACTCCTCCCTCTAGCAAGAGCTGGAGCTGCCCACTGGTTCCATTTTCAGATGGTAAGAGCTAAAAATGTGTGGGAAATCCCATAGAATTAATTCAGTTTTTCTCCATAATAATATCTTTAATAAGACTCATCTTTCTACATTCATTTGTTATTATTTTTTACAAACTCCCTGGCTTTTATCAATATAAAATCCTAGAAAATTGCATGGCAGTTAAAACACCAACGGAGTAAGGGCTTGGTTAACTGAAAGATTGTCAGTTGTTGGCAAATTCAAATTTTAAGAGGTAAAACAACACCAGAAAACCCCAAGCTGTGTCCATGCAAGCACTGAACATTTTCCTTATTCATCACAGTTCTTACCTGAATAGAAAAAAACCCCACTTTCCTCAAAATAATATCAATGGAAAATAAGTTATTATTTAGAAATAAGAATGGGAGAAAGAAGCTGGAAATTTAAGTAACATCTTATTATAGATTATAATTCATTTTAAGATTATAATTAATTAAATATATATCATATATATATTATTAATCATATTATAATTAATTAGTGATAAGATGCCTTATAATCTCTCCCAAGCAGGGATGTTTCTATGAATCCTGAATGAATGGGATATTTAAATTTGTTTTATAATTAGAAGAGAAGGTTCTTGCCATCCTATCTAGAGGTGATTCCAGTCTTAGAAGAAATTTTTTCTTGAACACGAGTCCCAAAAAGTTGTCAGATGCTCTTCAGACCCTGGAGTCCAAAAGTTCTTCTGATTTTGTAATTTTAGGATATATAAAGTAATTTTGGGAAGCAAATCCAGACTTGCTTGGTTTAATTTGTGTTTTCAAGAGTTTGCACTGAGGTGATTAAATCAAAGCCTCCTAAGCCCCTTCTTTTGGGGGTTTTGTTTTCCAATGCCATGTTCCATTCCCAATTTTCTTGCCTCTATTAAAATGAATTCTTCAATTTTCTTGGCTGTATTAAAACAAATTCCTCTCCTCACCCTCAGTGATTTGTGTTCTGCTCCTCCCTGTTTAATTATATTTTACAATTCCTATTCTGTGCATTTCACCAGCAAAAATTCCCATTCCAGGGAAGGAATTGAAGCCTTTTTTTGCCAAATCTGCCAGTTTTTTGTCACTTCTTAACTTCTAGACCCAAAGTTTCTCCTATTTTATAATGCTAATTATAAATTATAATTTATTACATTGAGACCACTGATCACCTTTATTTGTTGTGGTTATTGAGGTTCCCTTAATTTCCCTTATCAGCAGTCCAGAGCTTTTATTCCCAAACATTTTCACTCATTTCCATCCATCCCATTATTTCTGGATGTTGCTTTCTTAGCAGGATTTGGATGTTGAATGTTCAACACTCAAACACAGATTTATTTTTTTACCCTGTTACATATTAACAGCAAGAAAAAGGTAAATAAATAAAAACCAACAATCAAATCCATCACCCAGCGATGCAGTTCCATCCTACAAAAAGAACAAATTCCACCACACACACCCTGAAAATTACCTGGGAACTAAAGATATGATCTGTGGAAGAAGAAAACAAGAGCTGGAATAACAAAACTTGGTCCATGTGGTTAAAATATAATTAAAAGCTTAGGCAATAACCAGCTAATTGTGGGGATTCACAAGATTTTTTCTCTCAGGAGCTATTTCTGAGGAGTAGCTGTTCTGAATTGCTGGCACAGACACAGAAAACAAATTTAGCAATTAAAATCCTTCAAAACAAAGGGAAAAAACAAGCCACAAACTGAAATATGAACGTGAAATATGAATGTTCCTTTAGACATCTTCCTCAGCTGAACTGCTCTTGAAAATTCAGTGTACAGGGGCTTTCACCAGCTCGAAAGAACATTTCCATTCTCCTGGAAATCCAACAGAATTCCCCTCTCTCTGGATTAAACCTCATCCCTGAGCCCTGTGCTGCTGGGAGGCCTCAGGAAAAGGCTCACTGAAGGTTTTAGGGAATAACACAAACATGAGAAGAAAACATTCTCCAGGCTTTATCATGGATATTCAAGAAATAATTAAATACAGGCTGTGTATCCTGCAAGCACCAAGCTAAAAAAAAATAAAAATACCAACTTCAGCAGCAGAGAATGGAACATTTCCCAACTTTCCAGCCTTTGCCTACATGGAATTCCCTTTTTAGGAATTTCCTTTAAGGAAAAAGGTGTCACTTGAGGCTTTGTGATGGCTCCAAACCTCTGAGGCATCCCCAGAGAGTGGCAGTGCCAGGAGAAGCCCCCAGATGGGGTGATGTCCCTATTCCTGCTCACACAGGGATGAGAACCCTGTTGATGCTGGAACCTTCCTTCAGGGCTTTGGCTCATTTGTTCTGTTGCATTTGTATTTTTTGGGGGGGAGAAATTCAGCTTGGAGCTGCGTGGAATTACAATCCCGGGCTCTGATTAACCCAGGAACACCACGGGAACCTTTGGGAACGGTGGGAACCCCAGGCAAGGTGGGAACCAAGGGGTTCCTGCCCCAGGGATTGTGTCCTGGGCTCAGTGGGACAGGGAAGTGAATTCCCAAGGCAATCCCAGACCTTTGTTCTGCGCACAGAGAGGGCAAAGTCTCAGAAGCTGCATCAGGAAATGCCCCCAGGGGCAGCATGACAAGGCCAAAGAGCCACACAAGGACTGAGAGCTGCTTCTTGTGACCACTCCAGGCCAAAATAAATAAATCAGTTTATCCCAGGGATGGGGAGAAACCCTTAAAAGTCATCAAGAGCCATGACCACAGTTCTATTAGAACGTTATTTGTCTATAATTCAGCTTTTCTATAATTCCATTTTAACGGAGGAAGCTGAGGAATGCAGAGCAGGTTCTTGCCTGGGTTAATGAGAGGCCACTTGAACACTCAGGTGAGTCCTGGGTTTTCATTCTGATTCAGATATTTGCACCACTACCATCTTCTAATACTTTGTTCAACCAGTAATAGTCAATAAAATTCACATTTTTGAGCTGATTCCTTTCTTTAAACCCCCCAGAGACGATAACAGCAGCAAACCCATTTCCTCTCCAAATCTTCCCCGATGAACAAACCAGGAAATCTCTCCCTACACTCCTCCAAGTGTTTATTCAACCATTTAATCACCACCTTAGTAAAATTACCTCAATAAAAGCAAACACAGGCTTGCCATTCCCTCCTGCTGGCCCTGAAAAGGTTTATTTTGTACATTTTGGGACTCACAGGATCTGCTCCAATCTCTGACACCACCTCTTTAATTCCAGCAGGAAAGAACTCGTGGATCACCTGGACACGCACTGCCAGGTGAGCCACGACCTTGTGGGCTCAGAGCAGCGCAGGCTGCAAAAAAACTCCAATTTATTTGGAGAAGAGACAACAGAGGTGTGGGAATGTCCAGAAGTGAATGGATTTTATTCATGGAGAGCGTGTGGAAGTCAGCAGAAGCAAGAGCTGTCACAGGAAGCAGGCCAGGATGGTTTTGTCCAGAAAAAGGGAGATATGTTTTAATTTACCACTGGTTTTGTTTTGTTTTTTTCCTTTCTGTTTTATTTTTGAGTATGTGCCTTTTCACCGGGATCAACCCAAATTTAACAAGGAACATTTACAACCAGCCATCAGTGATTTCCAAGGCTGGAAACCGGGGAGAACCCCCTCGGGAGGCCACGTACCTGCTTCAGGACTGGTTTGATTACAGCTGCTGGCGATGCTGTTGGGGATCGCTGGCGCGGAGGGTGCCTGGAGCCTGGCCTGAGCAGGGTTGGGATGTAAGGAGTTCCCTAAGGCCATTCCCGCCTGGGGGAGCATCCCGCAGCTCCCGCTGGCCTGCATCTGGTTGAGGAGCCCCGCCAGGTGGTTGGAGGGGGCCGGGCCGGCGCCGAAGCCGGGGTTGGGGTTGGGGCAGGGCAGCCCCTCT